AAAGTCTAAGCTTACCGATATCGAAAATGATTCATAAGTTTTTCAATTTCTCGTCTCTCGGCCGTATCGAACTTCGGTGGGGCCCCCTCCTGTGTCAAGCGATCCAAAACCGAATGACGCAAAACAAAATCGACAACGGCTTTCTTCATCGCAAACACATAGTCGGAGCGCACCTCGGCAATATTCTCGACAAAAGCTGAATCCCATTTCTTCAGGAGAACCGGCACCAGATTGTCAATTCTGCAAAGCATGGGATGAGTTTATATATAATAGGTAGACTTGGAAAGGGAGGAACTTGCCTCTTCAGAGTCTTCTTGCTGATGGTTGAAACGTGAATGGTGTCGATGCCATGTTTGATGTAGTAGTAATAGCGTAGAACTTCGCGCTCGTATTGATCGGGAAATGAGTCCTGCTTCTCATTGCCCTCCTGATCATCATCCATGTGCAAGATCAGCTCCACGAGCTTTGTGCGGAAATGCTCGCGTTCCTGCCGCATCACCATATAGTTGGAAGAGGCTTTATTTTTGAGATCGGTATCTTCGGGTTTTTCTGATTGCTTGCGACGCGATCGAGACTTCGCATTGGTCAAACTATCGGGCATGTCCGACAGCATTTGGCCATCGAACAGGTGGCTGGTGCATTCGGGCATATTCAGTTCATACCACAAGCGACGTGATTTGTAATCCGCATTCGCCTTGGATTGCAGAATGCTTTGTAGTACATCTGGCTTGGGGCGTGTGTATAGCATTTTCGATTTGCTGCAGATGCGGTGCACGCCGCAAACAGACGTAAAGCTGGGTATATTCTTGTTTGGGTTCGGTTTCTCCATCTTGTTTATGTGCTGTTTTCAAAGTTGGCGCGCAACAACAGCGACAAGACAAGGTGGCAGCTCTGGTCAAAAATATATATTTTTATCGAATAGAAATATATTTTTAGTGATGCTTTCGATTCATCGAAAGCAGCACAGATGTCTAATATGTCAAATCGATAGGTATGTCGATAAGAACTAGGAACATACAAACAAATACGATTTTAAAGTTAATTAATAACAACTAAGTGTTGCACAAGCATATATATAAATTGACTTACTTTCAGTTAGTTAATTGTAGGAGCGCCGATATCCTTAAGCTATCAAATCGATAGCAAAGCAAAAAGCCGGTGACCGAAAAACACACTAAAAAACGCCGAAAAAATTATTGAAATTAAATACGGGAAACAATGTATTGCACAAGCAAATCACCATGCAAAGCATTCAACTTACTGGCTATTAATTAATTAAAATAGACAATTGTAATATTTACAATTGTTATCAATTTCTTTACACTGTTCTAAAGAACCACAACCGGTGTGCGCCAACGTACCAACGTATATAAAAGGAATGCAAATTACATTGAAATTCAAAAATTGATTAAACAAATTTTGTATAGAAAAGCAAAACAACGAAAATCTCCGTCGTCCCTGGCAGCAGGCTAAGCGCAACAAGTAACGTCATTTCCTATTCCGAATCAAACAAACCACAACTGGTCAAAAACTACAAATTTACAGGAAAAAAAACTACAAAAATAGTCAAAATGTTGCTACAAAAAACTTTGGCACGCGCTTTTCATACCACGCGCCAGTTGTGCAGCGCAGGAGCTGGATTGGAGAAGAGCGCCCTCTCCACGCTGCGCAAAAAGACAGGGTACACGTTTGCCAACTGCAAAAAGGCACTTGCGTTGCATAACAACGATGTCACACAGGTGGGAACACACAGTTACATATATACAGTTAGATATATACAGAATAATCTTTATTTTTCCAGGCAGAGAAGTGGCTGCACGAACAGGCACAGTCGCTGGGCTGGTCCAAGGCCACCAAATTATCGGATCGCGTCACCACACAGGGTCTAGTCGGCATTCTTGTCAGCGGCAATCGCGGTGCCATGGTCGAACTCAATTGTGAGACGGATTTTGTGGCACGCAACGATACCTTCAAACGCTTTGTGGATCATGTATCACGCATTGTCTTGCACTACACCGATCTCACAGAGTTCGACGGTGATCTGTGGAAGGTAATAAAGTCGGCATAAGTATGAGCAAGAAGCAAATAGCTTTTCATCACGTCGTCCACCAAGCGATACACGTTTACAGATCATATTCATATTTTTTTATATATAAATTCTAAGTACAAATAGATTTATATTAATATTCATATATTTCATTCATTTATAGCTTGGCTTCGACGCGGATGCATTGAAGAACTTGGAGACGCCTCAGGGTGGATCGCTGGCCGATCATCTGGCTTTGCTGATTGGAGCGATGGGAGAGAATGCCAGCATTAGACGTGCTCTTTGCTTCAAGGTGAACAACGATTTGAGGCTAGCAGGCTATGCACATCCGGCGCCAACGAATGTCAGCACCACACAGAATATCACACAGGTGGGCAAGTACGGTGCGATTGTTGCCTTTCGGTCGCAGCAGGATGTCGACGATCATGAGATCCAGAAGGGCATATGCCAGCAAATTGTGGGCATGAAACCGCTTAAGGTGGGCGAGTATGGCAAGGACATACCGGCCGAGAATAAGGACGATGAGACATGCCTCATACATCAGGAGTATCTATTGGACGCGGACAAAACCGTTGGCGAGGTGCTCAAAGAGAATGCCATCGAGATTGTCGACTACCATCGCTTCGAGTGCGGTGAACAGACGCAGCGTGACATCAAAGAGATCATTCGTGCCCAGCAACAAAATAGCAACTGAAAACCGATCCTGCATCTGACGTAGTATTCAAATTTTTTTGTACACTTGTTAAAACTTTTCAAATATGTAAATTCTGGCTAGAAAATACCGAGATTAGGAAAGCAACGAAAGAAGAATACTAAAAGAGAAAGAACTACTTATAGGTGCCTTTTGAATCGTATGCGTCATGCTACCGCGGGGGTTGCACGAATGCGGGAAGTACGCTTCAGTGCCTCCTACTGGCCAGCGTTCTCTGCCTCTGTCGTTTTCTACTGTCTACTGTCACTGCTTCGGCCTCTGCCCACTGTCACAAGCTCTGCTTTGGACTCTTCTCTCTTCTGCTATTCCCTCGGCTTCCACTGTTCTCTACCATGCCATGCTACTCCCTCTTTGCCTTTGCTGCGCTCTCTACCTCTATCTCTGCTGTCGGCTCTGCCTCTGCCTCAGCCGCAGTCTCTGCCCTCCATGCCGTTGGCATAGAATGGTCTGTTTATGAATCGAGTTTTGTTCTGCCTGTGATAATTACCCGCACGTCACATTTGGACCCTAAAATAAGATATGCGGAAACACAGGTGGTTAGCGTAACCGAACCCTCTCTCGGCCGCTCTCTCTTCCTCTGTCCTTCACTCACACGCTGAACTTTGCAATGACCCTTCCGATTGGAGTTTCAATTTGAGAAGGTGGTAAATACGATTTTTTTGTGAACCATCCAAGTAGAAACTATGTATAAACTTAAAGCTATAAGACATAAATATTAAAAAAATAATAATAATAATATATCAATATCGATTCCACGGTTTGTGTTTTATTTATTCTTAGGTGTTGTGTCTAGGTTATTCAAATTTCTAGACTCGAGTTCACAGTAATCATTTTATATTACGACTGGGCTTAGTGTCATCTGTCAAATCTAGAGCCAAAATCAGATGAAACCTCGATAAATAACAGGCTATGTCGAGAGATCTGTCACAAGCTCTTATCAAATCTATTTGAGACATACAAAGCAAAAAAATAGTACAATTTTACGAAAAATGGATTATTTGGATCTAGACTCTTTTCGATCCAGATATAGCGATATAACGGTCACAGCTGTGCCCGCCAAGCCAAAAATTGTTGAAGAACAAGAAACTCTACCAGATCGCTGGGATGCAGTTGACGGGGGCGGAGCGGAAGTGATGCCGGCTGACCGCGTGGAAATCTTTCCAATAAACAAGCCAGGCGCGCCAAGCAATCCGATGGTGATGCAACACCAGCAACAGCAGCAGCATCATCAGCATCTGGAGGAGCAGCAGCTAAAGTTAAGCCAGGAGGCTGCGGTCTATTCAAATGAGTATAAACAGGTATTGGCCAAGCTGGAGTACACGAAGTATGTGCAGGCGCAGCTGCAGCTGATATCCAACAATGGATTTGGCGAGCTGTTCTATGGCCAACCTGGCAACCAGATCCAAGTGCCCAGCAAAGAGAGAAGCAACACTGCGAACAGCGGCAACATAGTGGACACCTATGACAATCTGTTGAGTGTCATTGCGGAAATGCAGAGCAATCTGGGTCCGGCGGCAATTGGTTTGCGTGCTCCAAAGGAGCGCTTGTTGCGTGACATCGCACATGCACGCGTCCTGGTCAGGGAATGCAATCTAATGCTAATGCGCGACCATCACCATCAGCAGTCACACCGACTACCGAGCGACGACTGACGTCACAATTGGACGTGTTAATTGCCTGATTTTGTTTTCACAGTGTGTGACATAATAAAAGAGCAAAGCAGCAACAACATGCGTGAAGTTCCCAGAACTAAAACACACACATACAAACGCGATATTCACACTTGGCAGTTACACACACACACACACTATAACTCTAACTATTCACACTCCGCTCACTCACACATTCGTGTGCAATGGTCACACTCCAACAACCAAACTGAAAAGTCGTCCAAAGGGGTAACAAAAAATCGACGCCGGCGTCGCTGGTTTGGAGCTCTCTCTCACTGCGCTAAGGGTCACGAAATATCGAATTCGTCGTCGACGGCGCTGCTTGCAGCCGCGCTTCAATTGCAGCTCTCTCACATACTCATACACTAGTCATACCTCAGCTCTGCCCAAAAGGCTCACAAAACTGAAACGCCGACGTCGCCGTCGTCGTCGCTGTTTTGACATGCGACGAAGCCGCGCTTCAATTGAAGTTCGTGCGCTTTGTACGCGCTCAGTCATAAGCCGACCTTACGCAGGTTAAGCCATCGCTCTGGCGCTCACGCATTAACAATTACTGCTTAAATTTTGTGTGATTGGTGGGGCTCTAGCTTCCGTTTACGATTCGGGTTAATTTGTTTGGAAAGTAAGCACGGGCGTGCTTTTATTTCCGCTGCACAATTTTCGCAGAAAAAATAATAAATTACGCAAAAAAGAAACAAAATTATAAACAAACAGTAACAGCAGCTCAAACTTTAATTGCATACACTGTATACTAGCACGCTGAAGTGTACGCGCGCAAAACAATCTCCCTCTCTCTTTTCTTCGACTTTGAGCACAGTCGTGTGCGTGTGTGTGCGCGCGCGCAACGGTAAATTTGCGAAAAACGAATTAGAAAAGCGGAGCAGCGACAATAAGCAGCGGCATTTGTGTTAGTTGGTGACAGACCACAAAAGGAGTGCGAAAAAGATTAAAATTGTTTAATTTGTTGCTGATGATTGCTGTTTATCTGTAATTGGGGAGCGACTTTTAAGTCATTTGATGCTGGCGCAACAAACGCAATAAACATAATTACAACAGCAATAAAAACAAACAGCTGCATTTGTCGCTTGCAGCTTTTTTAGTTAGCTCTCTTCATTTTCTTTTGTGGTTTGCAGTTTTGCATGACTGCAACAAAAACAACAACAAAGGCAACAACAACTTTAACAAATTAGTGCACAAAATGCCACCGTTTAATTTCATTAAGCAGGTGAGTGTAAAAATTAAAATTAACGTGTTTATTTATTGCATGTGTGAACACTATCCAATTAAAGTTAACTATCTATGCAAATGCATACATATGTATGTATGTATGTATGTTTGTGTATGCCAAAATGTAAAGTAAGCTACCAGCACTCTGGCATCACTGTATTCTAACTGGAAATACTTAAACAGCCATAAAATATCCTATTGGATGGCCATGAATGCTTGATTGTTGAATTCTAATTAGAACTGTACGACTAACATTTATAAAGAAAATATTTATAATAATATGCTTATACTAAATCAGTCTTTTTTAAAATTAAAATTATAAGAGATATTATTTTTCATGTACATTCCTTTGTCTATATATGTAGCTCATCTGCTAGGGTATTTACACTTCTTCACTTCAAAGTCAACAATTGTTGCTTGTTCTAAAGAAAACTTTAATTTTTAACATCTTGAACAAACTGAAGGTTTTATTGTTTTCCAGTTAGGGACAGAAAAAAAGGGTCACGACAAAGCAATCCCAAAAATGAAAAAAAAAACAAAAACAACCAAACAAACATTTTACAATGCGTGTGTAGAAATTGTGTTTTCTAGATCACGACTTTTCGTGTACATTTGATATTCCATTAAACAATTTCGACACCTCAAACCGGAAGGTTTTTGACTTCGACAAGGAGGAGGAGGAGGAGGAGACAGCAATATACATACATATGTATGTATATAGCTGTATTTATTTTCAATTAGAAAATAATGTATATGGAAAACTCTTATGCAAACTGTGAATCACCTATTCAAATAGAGCAATTCAAACTAATCATCTGAGAGCCTTATCTTTTAGATAACAATATCAATAACTACTTTTTCGACACCATGTTTCACAGTTAATTAATTTGAATATCAGCCGCCCAGCTAGCTACTATTACAATGACTTATTAGCAATGTGAGAGAGAGTGAGGTAGAGCATAGATAGAACTCTAGAACTACTCTAAATGTCGGTAGTCATATTTAACAATAGAGCGACAGACGTGTCTAATTGGCGCTACCAAAAAGCAGCAGACGACAGTCAAAACGAGATATGGAAATGGAATCAAACACAACGAAACGAATTTGAATACGATTACGATTACAGCTCATATATATTGGAGCGGTACGAAAATAGATTTATCTGAAATCAACAACAAAATACAAGAAAACCAAAGAAATGCACAGCTGGAAACGGAGACGCGGCTTTTGTAATTAAGCGTGTCTGCTTCAGCTTCTGCTTCTGCGTTTGCTTCAGCTTCACTTGCTTAGAGATGCTCCGGGAGATAGCTTCCGGTGATTAAACATTCAAAACAACAGAAAGATGAAACGAGGCTGACTAGATTAGGAGATGGCTAGACTGAACTATACCCTGCAATGGCTTCCAAAATTCTTGTTTTCTCGGTCTCTTATAGTTTGTATATGATTCCCGTTTAAATAAATAATTGACAAGTGATCTATGTATGATCTGTACATGTCAGATGTGATTTATTATATATTTGAAGAAGAAATTCTGATTGTTGATTCTCTTTCCACTTTTCGTTAGTTATACTCGATATAATATATATGTTAATTGATCTAGCTTACGCCCACAACATGTTGACTCTCAAGAGTTCATCACGCTTACCTTAAAAAATATGCCCAGGGTATCAGAAAACACAAGAAGATGTAAATGGAAAGAGAATAGAACATTATAAAGGTGGGAATAATTTCTACGGATGGTCTAGCCACAGCTGGCTTCGTTGAGCTTTCTACAACTTTGATGTTTGGACAGCAGATCTTTGTCTTAAGACACGAAATGCAAATGGATTGTGTTTTAGGAGGTTAGTCCGGGGATGCGATCATATTTGGTTGCGGCTGCCGTCGGACTTGGGCTGGGCCTAATGAATTTCCAAGACCATTAAAGCAGAATTTTGCTTTAATTTTAAAGGCTTTTCTTTTTTTTTTTTCTCTCTCCCATTTTACATTTCTTTTCTTCTACAACTACTACTACGACTATATTTGGTTTATTTTTTCTGGGCCGTGTGATAATTAAGATGAATGACCCAGGTCCGAGAGAGTTCGAGTCCAAGCTGTGGAGTGTTTGGGAGGTTTGGTTAGAAAGTTATTGCACCATAAAATTTAGACAGCCAAATAGGCTATGGAGTTCAGGTTGGCCCGATCCATATATTTGCATTTTTTCCCTGTCTTTTTTAAGTAACTATGGCTAGGTTAATTGCATGTTAAATAACTGTTAAATAACGGTTAGCGTACATCTGTGCAGCTGACTGTCTCTCGGTCCGTCTCGCTGTCTGTCTCACTCACTCTCTTTGTCTGTCGGCTGTTATGGTTCAACTCAAGCAATTGTTGTTCAACTTCTTGTGCAATTGCCAGCCAGCCTGCTTGCCTGGCTTTCTTTTATTTCGCTCTTTGTGAGCACCCACTGTAATAACTCTGAAATTATTTTGAACTCCATCTCGCTATGTCTTCGCACCCACAACCAAAGCGCGGCGTTTTTTCAGCGTGGGAAGTCAGCAGCCAACAGATCTTTTATTTCGTAAGGGCTTGACTAGCGGTAGCCGTCGAGTGAGTGCAATGCACCAAAATCAATACGAATCCATATCCAAATTAAGTTTTTCATTCTCTCTCTCAACTTTCAAATTCGTATTATTGATTAATGTTGACTTTTATTTATTATTTGGTATACCAATTAACAATTATAAATGCC